CACATCAACTCTTCCTGGAAAAGAAGGGTCAATTTTCAAGTGGAATTTTCAACACAAAGCAGAGCATTTCCCAGGGGAGTTATCAAACCGATAGTTTGGTGCATTTGGTCTAGATAGAGGAGAAAAAACAATATGACTGTTGCATTTTAATTCTCTTCCAGTTCATGTAAACACTGACCCTTTACAAATGAACCAAGGGGCAGAGATGGGCAAAAATACATCAAAATGTATTTTGATACAAAATACAAAATACCCCTCAAATAAATGTATCAAAATAAAATACAAAATACTGGTGCCAGAAAATGTATCAAAATAAAAATACATGTATTTTGTATTTTCAAATACAGAAAATACTTTTTTTCTTTCTCTTTTTAGCAGCGACCCGCAGCTCTATAGGTCACTCTGTCAGTTGGTCCGTCCATAAAGCTTTTCGTGAATAACTCAAAAAGTCCTTGACCAAAAATGCTCAAAATTTACATGCTGCAATTAGAGACCACAAGTAACTATGCCAGAAAGAACAACCATGATTCATCCATTAATGGTGTGATAGTAGCAAATTTGGTCACAGCTATTGCAATACGTATTTTAAATACAAGTGATAGAAATACTGCCCATCCCTGCCAAGGGGTTAAGCACAAAATTTTACAGGCTGACAGTTGATGAACTGATTGGACAGTTTTGGTGATGTAATCCTGCATCAGCAATGCTACATGGTAGAGGTCCTCATGGATCATCAGTTGGGTCTGGGTTGGGTGCCATTCTATTACCACAGGTCCGAATCTGTTTAGTATTATGTGTAAAGCCTGAGTGGATCAGAGAACATCCCTGATCAGCTCTGATTATGAAAAAATGCATAACCGCTGTGAGTATGACTTGTGTGATGAAAAAAATAAAATAACTAGACAACTAAAACATTATTAAACATTACATACATATAGTAAGATGGGTAAGAATGTTAGTATGTTAGTATGTAAGTATGTTATATATGACTAGACTGCAAATTGACAACATGTAATGAGTTGTGAAAAACAGGTAGGGGGAAAAATAGTTTCAACAACCTAAATGAAGAGTTTGTTTAAATGAATCAAGCAGGATAGGTGTGACAACACCCTAAGATGGTAAATATTGCTTGTGACTCAAGTATAAATTCAGGGGTCAAACTAAACTAACTTACTCAATTTGTCTAGTGATTATGAGACATGTTTAACAGTTAATCTCATTCAAGATCTTGGTGACCTTAGTATCATGTTCACACATCATCACAGATGCAGGGATTTTACCATCACCAAATAAATTAAAATGTGTTTTAATGTGTGCAGTGCTTGTATCCCACACCATGTACTTCTTCATTTGAATAGAAACCTCAATCATTATTTGACAGCAAACATTTCCCCCCATTTGTACTGCTGTGTAAGAGACCTTGTCCCTGTCCTTTGTTTCTACCTTCAGCATTTATTTATGACAGACAAGGTCCTGTTGTACTCTCAACTAATAATGTGCATAAACTGCTATTACTTTTCTATGACACCAGACACAGTAGGGAAAGCAGCAGTGAAGACTTGCTGTCAGTGACCAGAATAAACTTATTCTGGAGATGGGTCTTTATTTCTGATTTCCTGTTATACAGTCAGTGGTGACACTGGGCCTGAGCATTCAAGGCTTCAGCCCAGAATATTTTATAAATAACCCCTAATCTGAATATATAGGCTATATGTATATTTAAAAAAAAAAAAAGGAATAGGCCTAACAATAATTGAAAAAGCCCCAAATCTCATAATCCCTTTAGACGGTGGTAGGCTGGTTTGGCTTGCCTTGGTTTGGGCCATCAGCCCAGCCCGCATTTCCATTGCAACAGGGCTGTTCACTTGTGGATGTGTCTCTAACTGATGATGGCTTGTCTTGACTTGTTACGTTTAAAAGCAGAGTGTTGATCCATGGCTAAAGTCCCCTGTTATTTTTGCTGCATGTGTTTTTCACAGCAGGGCAGGTAAAAGAAGTTTACCTGTTGGAGGTGAGCCATTTGCAGAGGTGTCCGTTGTCTGCAGCTCTAAATCTAAAAATTCACTGTGACTGTTTCTGCTTTTACTTTCCTCCCTGTCCATTATTAAACTTGCCTTTATTGAAGAAAAGACGCTAACAATGTTCCGCTAATGCATTGACTGTAACATTTCATATCCTATAGATTCTTCACAGTAAAAAACCCTGTTATTTTGTTATGTATAAAATTTTATTGTGAAGCAGCAAAATAAGGAAGTGTTGAGTTTTCAAGCAACAACCTGAATAAGTAAAATAAAGCAGATATCTAAAGTTAGAAGCTACTAAAGTACTGAGAGCTGAATACACAGAGACTTCTCTCTGGTCTCCTACAGACGGAGGCAAGTAGAGTCTCCCAGCAGACGCGGCTTGTTGGACCTACTCTGGAGAAGGTCCATCTCTGGCGCAGCTTGCGTGGCATGGCGTGTCTCAACTGACAAAGGAAATGCAAATCGGCATGGCATGGCTTGACTCAGCGCGGCCAAAAATTACATAGAAAAAAGCCCATAATAGTTTGTCATCCCGTTCCTACTTGTACTTTAATAATATACGTAGTTACATTCCACCACTGTTAACATAAATACATATTGTAGCGTCCTGTCTGGATGGATGTGTTGAATGAAAAGGACTGACCTGCTTGCAACCGAGTGTTTATTCAGACACAAACTTGGTTACTGTTGGCTGTAACCACGCAATACAAAACACACATTAGCCTTGCTCGCTAGCTCCTGCTGCCTCTTTTTGCGGAAAAACAACAATAAAAATAATGCACCGCGCCCCAACGTCACTTCCTGCCTGTATGTAACACTAAATTTACACCTCTTGGTTTTTTCGTAATAAAATTGTGTGGAAAACAAAACATTTTATACGTTTTTTAAAGAAAACTAGAAAAATGAAAGTCAGATAGTCTGGCACTTGGCACCTCCTCCACCCTGTTCTCTACACACTTACTTCAGACTGGCATCAAATTATTCTACTGAATACAACTTGTGGTTTATCCATGTAGACTGGATTGTTTAATGATTAATTATATCATATTGTGTATAAATTGCGTAAAGTAAAATTGCAGTGTTTCTAATGCTTTATAGCACAAAGGCAATATGTTCCAATGACCAAAACCATAACACTACCACCTGACACCAATTTACTGGCTGTCTCTGCTAGATCTCATCTGTGATTAGCTAATTAAATCATCTAGTTTGTGAAGATGTGGCTTATTGTACAGCAAAGGTCAATTACAGGCCACAATAGCTCAAGGGGAAAGGATAATGGGGGGTGTATCCACTTTTCTATCTAGGTAGATCTATCTTACAGTTCATGTCTCCAACAGACACATATAAAATGATAAGATAAATGATAAGTGAATTAACTGAGGACTAGTAGGTGGTGAAAATAACCATCTAATTTAATTAGTAACAGTCATCTACTGAAACAAATACTCAATCATCCTCACAGATGGTTAAGATGTTGTATGTGTGGGTCTTTGGCAGTTGTGGATGGATGGGTGGGGGTGTTTCTGGCACCTTGAAATATAAATGTGAGAAAATAAATAATGAAAAGCATGGAAAGCTCAGAGAGGGAAACCATGGTGACATGATTGCCTCAGTTCAGTGGCAAAGCCAGTTATCTCACAGAGACACATACACCCAGTCATCCCGTGATCCTTTGGCTTGGAGAAGGCAGCGTTCGGGTTGACAGAGGTTTGTATCAGTGTTCAAAAAAAAAAAAAAAAAAAAAAAAAAAAGATTTGCTACCTGGTGGAGAGTCTTTATCTCTCGTATCTGCTCTGTCTCTCTACTATCTCTGAGTCTCTCCCTTCCTGTTTGGATATAAATAGATCAGCGCCTGGCGAGACGGCAACAAGTCAGACTGTTGATAATGGTTATCTTAGACTTAGGGGGCATCAAACAATGATCCTCTTTGTCTGTTTTGTCTGTTTCCTTTGAACATCCATGCAACTCCACCATAACAACATTACTTTGCTTTTCCAACAACTCCTTCCAAAAATCCTCTTTTCCCCTATTTTCTAACCCTCTTTTTGTGGCTTCATCACTAGTATTCACTTTTAATTGTATCAACAAGATCAACAAGTCCACCAACCTACATTTTAACCAAAAAAGTACAGATTACTGTAGGACAATGTAATTATATTACTACTTCTGACACTTCCATGGCTGATGTTTGGTTAGGTTTGGCAGCTAAAATGACTTTGTTAAGGTTCATGCAGACATCATAGTTAAAAGAGGAGGATTTTGTTTTGGGAAAGATTGTGATCATTATTAAAGAAACCAACATTAACTGATGGGATATGAGGAAATGCAAACTTTGGTCTCCATTGTCAAAGTTATGTAACAAAACTATAGGTGAACCAATTGCCAGAAGAAATGTTCCCAAATCTAAATACCAATTATATTTGTAGATGGAAAACATTCACCTGAAGATAACTCAAATTGTTTTTTAATAAAAAAAGAACAAAATTGCACTACAAAGTAATTATTGTCACCAAAGAAAATAACCACTGTATGAAACCTATTTTATTCACTCAATCTTAGCTGATTTATGCTTGTGGAATTTATAAAACAAATAAAACAATATGTTGTCTAGACGCTCACTTTGTTTTCTCTTCCTTTGTCATTTCTCTTTACCATCAGACACATTAAAACAGAAACAATAAAGACAACAGATGAATTAGTTTGCACAATCCATCCATGCTGCAAGTTATTATTCTACATATGTAAGCCTTGTTTTGTGCCTGCGTTCATTATTCGACAAGCCTTTGCAACCACTTAGCACCTCTCTCTTACTGTGAAGCCAGCGTGAGTCGAGAAGGACTTTTGAGTGGGTGGATCTGCAGGATGTCACACGCCTCTTATTGCCTTTGTTTCCACTTTGTATCCACAACAAAGGTGTAATTCTTTCATTAAAATGTGATTTTTATTTCTTTTAGCCCAAGTTGGGGGGCTTACCTATGAAGAGCGTTGATCTTGTCGGCTGTGATCCCTTTCAGCAGCTCCTCCAGCAGGTCTGAGCTGTCAGATGGAGGAACAGGTGGTTTTACAGTGGGTGTGTGAGTGAACCAGCCAATCAGGAGTCCCAAGACAAAAAGTCCCACTCCTGCCAGGAGGTACCTTAAAGAATGAGACAAAGGTATGAAATGACTACTTACTAGCTTTTATTTTTGAAACTGTCAACAGCTTCTCACAGTACTCCTCAGTGGATAGAGTTTGTCTAGTATTAACTCTGAAAAGAGAGTAAGATACTTAGGAATAAGCTGTAAGGTGGACTTTGACTTAATATTAATTTTATTAATAAACTAAACATTCCAAGGTCAAGAAGGAACTCTGATCAAGAAATAATATATGTACTAGACCAGTGGTTCCCAACTGCTGGGTCGCGGTCCAAAAGTGGGTTAAGGGTCCATTTGGATTGTAACACAAGTGGCTCACAAATGTGTTGAGTTTGCAAAAAACTTGACAGACAGCAAACAAACTCAATGACATGGCCAAACGCAAGTATGATGTGCAATATATTAAACTTCTTGGACTTTGAACTAATGAGTGGTGAGAAATCTGGACCCTGTGGCTGGACCAGTTGGGAACCACTGTACTAGACTTTCTCAAGAAATATTTGCTCTGGAATTGGGAAAAACTGACTAATAGTGTCCACCAGGTACTTGTACCAAATGATAAATGAACTTGTATTTGTATAGTGGTAGCTGAGTGAAAGCTTTTGTTGTTTTGATATAATAATGATACAGCATTTTGGGGTTCACGTAATGTCGGATAAACTTGCCCATCTCCCCCAGAGAGCAGGTAAGGTTTAATGAGCTGGGGACAGGGGCCGGGGGTACGGAACCCAGAAAAAAAGGCTTCTCTATTATTTAGTAGGCTTTTCTATGTAGTTATGTTTTTGTGACCTTATGTAATATTTCAAAATAATAGTAGTAGTATCAGTAAAAATATAAACATTAGCATTCGCCGATACTGCCTATGCCACGGGCCGGCACCGACATTCACCCATTTGCACACACATTCATACAAGATGCCATACAGGGTGCTTCTCAGTTAAACTTACACACACTCAGCAATTTTGGGTTCAGTATCTTGCCCAAGGATACTTCGATATCCTAAAGCATACTTTGAAATGTGGACTGGAGGAACCAACGATCGAACTACCAATCTTTCGATTAGTGGACGACCCCTTTTACCTCCTGCCCTCAAAGTAAAAACACTGCCTGTGCTTCATGTGCAATTTGACATTTGATAGGCTGCTATTACCTTTTCATAGCAGCTGAGTCAGTATTGGTGCTAGTGGCTCAATGCCTAAGGGCACCATTCAGACCTTGACTTCAAGCACACTGCGGAGGTGCTTATCTACAGTAGATAACACATAGCCCTTCTATCCTAGCAGGTGCTGTGGCAATTGGAATGAGTGCTTGGAAATGTTCTAGGGATACTCAGACCTCAGTCTTAAGCTATCTGGTGCAGTCCCTTAATGGCAATGAATGGGGTTATAGAAACATACACTGGTACACTGATGATGATACGAAGAGGCATGATCAAGCACTAGTGCCAGTTTAGATGATATGACTGTAGCAGTGAAGAGACAAAGAAGAACACTTTAAGTAACACTGCCAATTAAATGTATATTAGTAGAAAGTTCAACATTTATATGTAAAACCATGCTGATATGTATGAACTGGTTAATGGTAAGGGGTGGGACCCTGGTTAAAAGAACAGGCTTATCCACCTCATCATACACCATCAATGTAACCTGTGTCTGTTATGGTTTAGAAGACATAACGAATAGGTGTTTTCACAGTAACACCAGCTGACAAGCCACTCAATGCAACAGCCTTCTCTTTTTTCACATTGATTTGCTTTATCTATCTCTGTGACTAAATGCATTAAAATCTGGATTCAAGGGGCAACAATAGGTTTCTCCTGAGATTGTCTCTCTGCAGGTTTATAGCAGTAAAGAAAAACTCATAGTCAGGCAGCTAGTGGTTCGGCCACATAGTTAGGATTCCAACTCAATAATCCTACCTTTAGAGGTGTATCAGACCCAACCAACTGATTGAAGGCTTCAAAACACTGATAGATCCAGCTGGCATGGGAGCCAAGGAAGAGTTAGAGGGAATTATACAATGGAAATCAGGGCCTCCCGCCATGCACTGTTGCTACTACCCTGACCTCAGTTTACAGCTAGAAGATACTCCATGATCTTGTTTTGTACAGTATGTGTTTTTGAGTATTTTTCTCCTCTTCTCAAAGTTATATGAATGAATGAAATGAATGAATGAAATTTTTATTTTCGTGTCTGGCTGCCCCAAGGCAGCCCATCCCTCATGGGATTATTCAGACACATTTTAAAACAAAACATTTTCCAGTGCCATCACGCAAACATAAAATAGTAAACATGACATATAAGCAAGCTGCAAATAAAGATCAATAAAAAAAATAAAAATAAATAAAACAAAATAAAATAATATAAGGCAACATAGTGGCACAGAGGCAAATAATGAAAAATGTGGAAAATTTTGTGGAATAAGCAAGTTTTGATTACACCTGTTGGCAAATGAAGGCCACAACTGCATAACTGCTCTAACAACACTGCTTTGCTCATTCAGTGCTGTAGAATTTCTGACACTCACAAGGCTGATGGGCCCTTAATCAAAGGCTGAATATGGAGCAACAGAGTAATGTGAGGTCACATCAGCATGGTGACAAGGACTGTAAATATTCCCCATGGTTGCTTTTCACAGCTGTCACCCCCATTGTCTTTAAAGTCTTAATCCAATAAATTGTCCATGTTGGTTTCATCTGGGAACACCGACTGCTACTTATTCTGCTGTAGCAGATCACCGGAACGCATCAGCTCAGTCTTGTAGAAATATGTGAGATGGACCCAAATTTTTAACAATGCATCACGTGATGGTGGGCACAAAGTGTCTTAAAATGACATGCTGGCATTAGGAATACATTGTCAAGCAAAGTCAATGAGGGTCTTCACAAAGTAAGTTTAAGAGCTAGAGAGTCTGTGTCTTTCAACCAGGAGACTGCTGTTCATTTCCTGTGTATAACCAAAGTCAGTGTAGTTATGTGACTTGTTGACTTTTCATTCATTCATTAAAACCTTTATTTAAGACTGAGGAAATCAATTGAGGGAGACCCTCATTAACAGTGATGCCAAGCATTAGCAAATACATTAAAATTAAAAACAACCAATAAGCAAGCAAAGAACCATCATGCACACTAATCTAAATAAATGAGATCATACAAAATGACAAAAAATAATAGCAATATATAATCACTAAAAGTACAAATACAAGATGATAAACCTCTTATGGTGTAAATTTAAAGTTCAAGCATTTACACTCAATTAGAACAAAATCTGAAATGAGGCATTTAAATGGACACTCTGCTACCATTATGGCTAAGTTTAAGGTGTTTTGCAGAATATTCCATGTATAAGGTTTGCTGTAAGAGAATTACATTCTGCCTAGTTTAGTTCTGATTAAGAAAGTGTGAGGCAACAACCTATTCTGTGAGCGAGTACCAAGGTTATGTGAGGTCAGAGTCAAGGGATGAAATATAGGGTGGAAGCCTCTGTGTCAAAGCTTTGTAAATGAACAAATACCAATGCTGTTCCTGCCTCACAGCTAAATGTGGCCAGCCAACCTTTTGGTAAAGGTGGCAGTAATGGCTTCTGTAAGAATTACCTGTTATGAACCTTAGGGCTGAGTTATAGACAGCATCCCGTGATTTCAGTGTAGAGGCAGAAGCTTTTTCATTTATGTAAAATTAAAATAACTTTTACATAATTATGCAAAGTACTTTTCATAATAACACAAAGTATATTGTGTTAATATGTAAGTTCATGTCACTTGCACTCGTAACTGTTCGTAAAATATTTTGCATTGGCAAAGTTTTTTTTTTTTATCATCAGTGCAGCACTGATGATAGTCATGGACTGAAATGTTTTCTGTCTTTTTAACCACTTTTTATTATTTTTTGCACTTTGAGCACCCGTCTTTTTGTGCACGATAGTTCTGAATAAACTGGCATTTTTTGGCATTGATCTCAGCCTGTGAACCTTTTTTTTTGTGGCTGTTCAGGCCAGTTGTATTGGTGTCCGGGTAACTCCTCTGCTGTCCTTTCTTAGTTGTCCATTGTACTGACATACCCAATATCAACTTTTTTGTTGCCCTAGGTAGGCACAGTTTCAAAGCAGCCTTAAGACTTTGCAGCATGTTATTTTGACATATGCATCTTTAAGAGGTTTTGTCCATTCCATGGAATTTGGTGAGTCTGTGTTAAACACAAACAAGTTGTAAATGTGACCCTTCCGTACCTGCAGCAAACAATTTCTGACACAGCGTCTACAAAGGATATAGAATTACCTGAGCAAGAAACAATGGAGTCGCCGTTGGCCTTTATGGCCCGGAGCCCTGGTGAAGTGGGAGATGTAGTTGGGATCTTCCTGGAGTCGTTCAAATCGTCCATGTGGTGAAACTGAGACAGATGGCTGGATGGGTTCCATCAGCTCGGGGTCAGGGTCAGGCCCAGGGTCTGAACACCCTGAACGTGAAAGCAGTGAGAAATAAGAAAAGATGTGCTAACCCACCAATTATGCTGAAAATGAATGATATCAATTGAGTCATGGGTCAACTTGAGTCATATTCTCTGAATGCACTCCTTAACCTCACACAGTTTGGAGTCTTTTTCTGGTAACTTACTAACAAAAAACTCCAACTATAATGCGGAAAGCAAACTGTAAATGGGATATGGAATAAAAAACTTAATGCTTAGTTTTGAAACGATCAGCACACTTAGTTGAGAAGGCATTTGTGAGGATAGAAAACTACTACTGATACAGAACTCCAGGCACAATTCAAAACAGAGTCCTTCAAAGCTGAGGAACTCAAGTCTAGCTTTAGGGTACTTATGAAGTTTCTCTCTTTTGCAGTTGTTGGCAGTGGCAAACTTCTCACATTAAAAGCAGCATTTTTTTTTACAGTGACAGCTTGTTTCAAATTATGGGTAAGAGATTCTGAAGATTTTCTGAGCAAAACACATTCACGTAAGATCATCAAAAGCATTGGAAAGAAACTTGTTTTGGAAAGACTTCAAGATCAATTGCAAAAAGACGACTGAATCATATATTTATCATGAGCATGTTTAAGTCATACATGCATCACAAAAGGTCATATATAGGCATGATGAATCTGGCATGATAAGGTTGTGCATCTTTATTACATTAATGTATATTACAACTCCAAATGTCAAATTACAAACCTGCACAACATGAAAGGGATTTTGCATTGTTAACTAGCTGATCTGAGTAATATCTTTCACTCCTCAAACTGTATTTTGGTGACGGTTATGAGTTGCAGGATTTTCATTAATGTGGCAAAGTGTTTTATAAATAATTCACAGAGTCATCATGTCAACATCCTGACAGCCATCAGAAAGTTTTCATTTACATTTCATATTAGCTGTTAGCTGAGCTAATAGTAAGTAAACTAATCACCTCCACATATTGTTTTAATTGAGATAAGCCCTGACACACTATGATATGCATCATCACAATTACTTGTTCACAAAGGATTTCAGATTATCAACTTTGTATTAATTGTGTTTGGCTGCAAGGCCAAGTGATGTAAAATTAGGGAATGTGCTCATCACTGTGGCAAGACTGTTAGAGGTATTTCATTAACATTTTAACAAACTTGGTCTGAAAGAAAATATTTGACCAAATCATCAGATCTGTCATCCCGGTCTCACGCTGAAGTCATCAAAAATGTCAGACACCCATGGGGAAAGCTATCCTTTCATGTTGGCATGATACCTGCCCAGTTGCCATTATTGTTTAGCAGTGCCCGGCGATGTCAGGGGGAAATACGGTGGGACATCAACAAAAGTTAAGGCAGCAGAAGTTCGAGTAGGGCTTGCGGAAGGGGTGATGGATGGGTTAAACAACCCCTGACTTTCACCTGGTGGCTGGTGTTCTCTTTCTCGTAAGATTTTAGAGCCATACCTTGTCCTTTTTTTCTAAACCTAACCACTTGCTTTTGTTGACTAAACACAACCACATGCATGTGTTGGCAAAACATAAACACCTGCATATGTTGTTTACAGGGAAAAAAAACTTCAATTTGTGATATTGTACAGACATAGTGTGTTTATTTTGAAGGAGACTGTATGCAAACTGTACATTTCCTGTACATATTTTGAATGCAGACATCAGCCAGAAGTAGACACAGCGTGCCAGAACATCAACAACCGATGCACCCACTGTACCTTGCATGTCACATCTCGGCGTGGAAAGTTCATGATGATCGATATGTGATGAGGGCGGAGTGAGAATGTGTTGGATATCTTATGCCTGGTACACACTACACTACTTTTCTGCCCGTTCTGAAAGTCACTATGTCATATTACACGATTGTGGAATCATAAAATCGTGCCATGACTTGGCCGACAGACATGACACACTACACGATGGTCCACACCACTTATCTCTGATCATCTTTCACGACGTGCGTGATGTCATCGGGTTATTCTTGTCCTCTTTTTATTACTTTTACACTGTACACTGTGTCTGTTCATGTGCCACCCGAAATGTTGTTGTAGTAATCAGGGTTCCTACAGGTTTCTTCAAGTCAAATTCAAGTCTTTTTAAGACCTTTTTAAGACCATTTATATCAAAAATTAATACCTATAGAGTATTCGTTTATTCAACAAAACAGCAGTCCACAGTACTCCTGTACAGGTTAAATAAAAATAAAAAATAAATTAAAAAATCTGTGGTTGTGTAAACATAAAACAAACATCAGAACAAACAGCGATTTGTTGACTTTGGACACCAGTTCATCTTTGATGTGAATGGCTAACCCAAACTTGGCTATGTAAGCCGTTTTGTCGGCACCACAAGTAAAGGTGCTGGCGATGTCGGAGTCGGGGAACATGCACTTGAAAAGCTCTGAAATACCCTTGTTTCCATTGTAGGACTGGTGTTTGGCGATGGTGTGAAGAGTCCACAACACCTCTGCTTTCAGCATTGGCGTGGACCCGAAAGACGTGCGTAGATCGACTCTAACGTTAACGTTAGCTGTGGTCGTAGCAAGAGGGGCTGCAGGAGCACTAGCAGCTAGCTGGCTAGCTGGTGGGAACCCGGCGGTGATGGAAGGAGTTTGTTCCTTTCCTCGGACATACTTCATGTGCTTGGTCGATTTGGCATGAGAGTCTAACACCTTCACTCCCATTGTTCCGAGTTGAATCCTCTTCTTGCACACGGTGCAGTAAGCCTCAAAAACGTTGTCTACCACAGGTTTTAACCAATGACGGAAAGAAATTTTATCCATCCACGCTTCGTTAAATTTACATTTCCCCATATTCCCAGCATGAATTAAGTAGCTAGCTAACGTTAAAAAACAACTGCTTGCCTTTTTGTTTGTGGTCTGTGTCTGTGTTTGTGTTGTGGTGCTGTTAGCATAGGGTGACCATATTTTGATTTCCAAAAAAGAGGACACTCAGCCGGCCACGACATAGCCTATTTAAATGATACTTGCAGTTTACTCAAAGATGCCTTATAATTTTAATATATTTAAAATTTATATGTATGGATAGAAAATTCAGTTATATTACAAAATAATATCTCTCAAAGACAGAAATTTAGATAGGCCCCAATAGGGGACACATACACACAAGAGTGTGGCGATCCGAGCCCGACGGTACTCAACAGGTCAGGCTGGGTGTGGTCAAAAATGTAGCTATAAATTGTATTCGGGCTTGGGTCAGATTCAGTCAGCTTTCAGTGAAAATGTAGTGTAAAAATAAATAAAATCCTATTGTCTGTCCTGTTTATTGCTTGGGCACTGTTATTTACATGACAACACCTGAACATAACACACACAGACACACAGTGGCTGTTTGTTTCTACCTCTCCCCTCTCTGGAAGTCTCGGACCTTCCACCACCCGTCTCTGCCTTGATTAAATGCTGAAAAAAAAAAAAAAAGAGGGAGACAGGTTTTTCCTATTTTATCTTATTTTGTTTTATGTCTCCCTCTCCTCTCCCTCCCTCCTCTCCTCCCTCTCTCGGACCTCCTGCCTCCCGCTCCCGTCTCAAACACGGGCTGAGCACCCACGGCGCACGCCCGTCCTGTTAAATACCCTGTAACCGTAACAACTGTGTGGCACAAACTCAGTGCTTTGGTCATTAAATAATGTCGGGCTCGGTTCGGGTTTGGACAGAAATATGCGGCCCGTGCCGCACTCTAACACACACAAAAAATAAAACCCCCCCGGACGCCCCGGACGGGACGTGGAAATTGGACATGTCGGGGCAAAAGAGGACGTTTGGTCAGCCTATGTTAGCGCGAGGTTTTCTTCTTCTTCTTTATTTTTAACGGCGGTTGGCATCCAGCTTATTGGTGCATTACCGCCACCTTCTGTTCTGGAGTGTGAATCAGTCATCGTGTTCGGAGCATTTTCCCCGGGGCTGCGTTGCGTTCTCAATTATTGGCTCTTTATTTACGTTATTTGATCAAAATAATTGTGGTTGACAAATGAAACTTTTGACGAGAAATGCGATACAGATAAGTTACATACAACACAATTTTTAAGACCCAGATATCAAAATTCAAGACTTTTTCAAGTCTTTTTAAGGTATTATTTCCAAATTCATAAATTCAATGCTTTTAAGACTTTTTAAGACCCCGCGGGAACCCTGAGTAATGTAAAAAAAAGTGCCAGCAGATGGCAGGAGCTACATTTGAAGCTCTGTACACAAACATACAAGTCACTGAATCCTCCACAAGTTCCTGCAAATGTTTCACAATAAAATATTGTTTAGAAAGTGAAGGGATTCTCTCAACCAAAAATGTTAAGGGGCTTTTAATTTGAAAAAAGATACAGGAAGTGCTGAGTTTGAAATGACGGCGCGATGCATTAACTTTATCAAGGTAACGGGAGCGAATAAAAAGTAAAAATATAAACATACAGAGGGATTAATAAATAACAGCCCGTTTATAATGTAGTCTGTTTCACATGAAGCTGGTAGCCTCTGCAGTTGTGATAAGAAAAAGCCCCGCCGCTATTTGTTAATTTTCCTACTTCATGTCCTCCATTATGAAGAAATAACATTGTTTGCTAACTTCATGCTAACGGTAGTACTCAGCAGGTTGACAAAGTACCTCTGCTGTTTCACACCATCATTTTTCCCTTTTTACTCTGTGTGGTAACATCTCTAGAGGTACAGTTGTCTACGGCAGCAGATCTCTCTGTGTTCCTATTGGTCAAAGTGACGGGAGCAATCGTAAACGACAAAAAGAAAATCAAACATGCTAGACTTTCTGTTGGAATGTCGTGAGGCGTCCCAGACGTGGCATTGGTTGTCGTTAACTATGACACACTACACGAAATGAAACAATGGATTATCGTGTACGACACTCATTGTCATTTACAATCCATGCCGACACTGTACGTCGCTGCGTCGGGCTAGAATTGGGCTGATAGCGTGAAGTGTGTACCAGGCATTAGCTGCCAGAAGGGTTGTGGGACATTGAGAGTGTAAACCAATTAAAGCAAATTATGGTTCAGACATATCCAAAGTCCAACCAGGGGGGGCATTAGTGGCCAGTGGACCAATTTCAAACAGCCTACAGCTTGTCTATCAATATATACTTTAATTTGCCAGCCACACGATATTGGTTAAGCAAACAAGATCATTTTGCCTTTTTTCCGTTCACCTCATAATGACGGGACTATCTTACAGTTTGTTGACATGCACCATCTAGGAACTACACATGTGGAACTAATGTGTCTACATAAACAGGTGGTAAACAAGAAAACAAACGGTTCCCTAACAGCAGACATTTCCTGCTGGGTAGCAGACATGGCCACAGCAAAGAAGTGTAAAATTGACAGTGAGGGCCACTGCTTTTAGGAGCTTTGGAAAGTTGAATAATTTTTACTGAGAGAAGACACAGCTGTGTCTGTCTCATTTGGATGTAATTAGAAAAATCATAACAATAACCCATATGATGTATGAAGCAGCTTGCCCTCAGGTGTTTCCACATTATCTAACCTGGTCCCCATACAATAAAGTTTGGACATCCCTGCCCTACCTGATCTCTGGCAGTCTACGTGTTGCATCTGCATGCGGTCCATGCTGGGTCCAGGTTCCTGTAGCTCCTCCTTGTCCAGGTCCCAGTCAAGATCCAGACCTCCAGAGCAGTGCAGAACCTCACCGACCATTGGGCCAACCTGGGCATCACACACCTTCCTGTACGCCATGTTGTCACCTGGATTTCAAATGCATCACTTTTTCATTTACAATGATTTAAAAAATGGATTTCTATGCTTAACAGCTATTTTTTCAAGTCGCTGGGAAAAAGTTTCATAGTTTCATAAAAACCATCCTGGGATCACACTGTTACACATTCTTGACAGGTTGCCAGACAATCAAAGGGCGCATAGAGACAGACAACAATTCACGCTCACATGCACACCTATGGGCAATTTCAAGTCACCATTTAACCTAACATGAATGTCTTCTGACTTTGATAAGAGCTGGAGAAAACCCACACTGACACAGGGAGAATGAGCAAATTCCACACAGAAGGGCCCCAGCCAGTCAGGCGGTCCAAACCTGCCTTTCTGTGAGGCAACAGTGCTAACCACTGCAACACTGTGCTGCACTGTGTTTACAAAAAACAAAAACCTGTCCAATGCCAGACAGACAATGAAACAAGATACTGGAAGTAAACGTTGAGGAACAAATTAATTACTTTCAAGGCATATCAAATGCTGAAACACTGCACAGCAGTTTATATTACAATGAGGAAGAATTTTACAACACTAGAAAGGTATCATGTCTATTGCACCGGGGCGAATGTTTAGCCAGCTGTTTTGTTTTTTGTTGTTGTTTTTTGCCAGAGCCCCAACTGAAAACGAGCAAACTATCAACATATCCTCTGTGGACAAGATTCTTCTCTTGTTTCAAAGATTTGATGAGTAGGCACAAGTATAAAAAAAGTGAAAGATAAAGGTGAAGGTACAACTTGCACTTGCACTTGGAATGCACAACACACGGCTAACTAAGTATTCATAATCAGCACAGTGCACGTTGAGATTTGCAATCTGTATGAAGACCACTCTGTACCTCACATGGGCAGTGGGTGTAGAAAACCTGGTATTAGCCACCTGGGTCAGATTAAGACTGCTCACTTGACTCAAGGTAATGGATGTTACATTAGTGCTGGATATGGAAGAAAACGTGATAAGTGTAGTTAATAGCTACTTTGGCTAAGTAACTGACCAGAGCCTCCCAGCACACAATTATGAAGACTAAAAGCACCGCAGGGTACTGCGATGCATTCACACACTTTAATGTGACCGAGAGAACGCCAGTCAGAGCAAGGCATAGAGTTAAGTACTCAACCTGAGCGTGTATGTGTGTGTGTGTGTGCACAACAGGAATTCAGGCTTTAGGGGTGTGGTAAGCATGTGAACTGGGAGACTGAGAGTGTGTGTGTGTGTGTGTGTGTGTATGTGTGTGTGTGTGTGTGTGTGTATGTGTGTGTGTGTGTGTGTGTGTGTGTGTGTGTAAAACCAGCTGTGAGTTCAACACAGCTCCTAAACAGCATCATTAAACCTCACCAGGACTGGAATAACATGCATGAAGACTTTGTGTTTGTGCGTGTGTGTAACATCTGACTGAAGATCAGCTATATAAAACCTCCCAGGTAGTGTCTTGGTACGTCATCAAGCTTAACAGTCCCTTTTATATGCTCCATCATCAAAGTCCACCCTGAATGGGCAAATGAACTGCCCAGTCAATAACAGCTTGGCGTTAAAAAACACAAGTCACACAAAATCAAAATGCCTCAAAACTATAGTCGAACCTAAAGGCCATAATTCTGTGAAACTGTGTCACTTTACAAGATGGTTTATTGGTTTATTTAAATAATTACAGGCGCAAACCACCTGGAGTCAAAGCAAAGGAAAGAGAAGCTAGCATGAGCAGAAAGCTCAGAGTTGTACGATGTAAGTTTATTTTACACATACGTAAGCTTTTTTATGTTTACCCCGTTTAGCTTTTCACCAGCTGCGTTTTCACCTTTTGTGTGTGTGTGTGTGTGTGTGTAAACATGTCAAAATGTGGTCCTGGAGACATCAACTGTAGCAGGAACTACTACAGAAGCTGTTCAGAGTACTTTACCAGGTGTTTATAATTTTGTGTGTGGACAGATTGTGTCACCATAATAGCTTCACTACTGTGCAATATGCAGTTAGGAAACGTGTGCAGTTGTGATCAAAAATAAAGTTTAAAAATGGATGTGGTCTGAGAAAGGGGGCTAAAAGATTCTGATTCTGATCTAATAACTACTGGATATCACCAAAACACCTCCTTAATTAGGTAAGATATTTATCCTGTGTCTGCTTTCATTACACTTATGCATTCTGTCATTGTTTAATACGAGTGTCATCTCTTCTATATCTCCAAATGTCCAAATTAGTCAAAAAATTAATAATGATTACATTTATTGGATTCTGTGTGTGTGTGCGTGCATGTGCGTGCGTGTGCGTGCGTGTGTGCATGCGTGTGTGTTGAATTTATTAAAGGAGCAATAAGCGAAATCGTTTACCGCTAGGTTCGCTGTTGTGCGCTGCCTGTAGAGCAAAACAAAGTGTGTCATGAGCCACACCTCCCTCTACCTCTGCTCTCCAACACTAGCACTACTCGGCTGCCACGCTAACGCTCCAACTCCAACTGAGCCGGGAGCCGGGCTCACAGTCTCACGGAGAAGAGTTGGAACGTTAGCATGGCAGCCCATTAGTGCTAACGTCCCCACACTTCTCCGCCAGGCTCAGTGAGTCGGAGCCGAGAAGCGTGGGGACGTTAGCGTTAGCACTAGTTGGCTGCCATGCTAACGTTCCGGGAGCCTGCTTCTCGGCTCTGGCGAGCTCTAGCGTGGGGACGTTAGCTTTAGCACTAGTCGGCTGCCATGCTAATGTTCCGGGAGCCTGCTTAAGCGTGGGGACGTTAGCGTTAGCACTAGTCGGCTGCCATGCTAACGTTCCGGGAGCCTGCTTAAGTGTGGGGACGTTAGCGTTAGCACTGGTCGGCTGCCATGCTAACGTTACAACTCTTCTCCGTGAGCCTGTGAGCCTGGCGGGCTCACGGAGAAGAGAGGAATGTTAGCGTTAGCTCCCAGAGTTAGCACTAGAGCTACTACGGCTACTGGAGTAGCTTGCAGCTATGGAGCGCTTCTACCAGCTCTTCTAGTCACTGAGCCTCGCCTCCATTTCAGCAAATACATTGCATTTATTACAGGTACCATCATCATTGAAGTAGGCAGGGGAATAGCTAAACACAGCTGCCAGGCTGCCCGCCGGGCTACATTTTACAATGCTAATTGCAAATGTTAGCTGGGCTGCCGGGCTACTCACCTAACACAACCGAAACGCCTGACCCATTGCTGGGACTGAGCCGCTAATTAATCAAGCTCTGGACATTAACCCATGCTACGATTGTCAGCAGTCACATCATCAATAAATACAAGAGAACCAGTTCCACTGGCAGCCATACATGGCCATGACATAACAGTACCTCCACCATGCTTCACTGATGAGGTGGTGTGCTTTGGATCATGAGCAGTTCCTTCCCTTCTTCCTTCTCTTGTCTTCCCATCATTCTGGTAGTTGATCTTTGTTTTATTTGTCCATAGTATGCTGTTCCACAACTGTACAGGCTTNGTATTCATTGTTTCATTTAAAACCCATTGTGGTGGTGTACAGAGCCAAAATGATGACAACTGTATCATTGTCCAAATAATTACGGACCTGACTGTACATGGGAGATCAGTCCAATCGCCTTTATTCAGGTCTGCGCAAGGTTTGGGGCAGGGAAGGTTTCTAATTGGATAGGGGGAGGGGTGGGGCGGATGTTACGTGTTTACGTTTACCAGAAGAAAATACTGTAGTCCTCGCTCCGGATAACAAGATGCTTCACGACGCCATTCTTAGTGCCTTTTTCGGGCGTGTTTTGCTTATATTCTTGAAGCAGCAGTACGACAACAACCTTGTTCTGCTAATGCTTCGTCAGTTGAGGAGGAGAAGGGAGGTAGAAGGTCGAAGAAGGGAGATAGAAGACCGTGCTGTGGCGAATGGAAACCGGTGAGTACAAAGAGTCCGACTGCTCTATCTCAGCCCGTTGCAATGCAGCCGATTGCTATGCGCTATACGTCATCGCGCCAGAAGGGCAAGGAAACGAGCATGCGCAGAAAGACCGGAATGAACTTAAAGAGGAATGAGTGTATACATGCACACAAAATTCTTTCATTCGGAATGACAAATGGAATAAACCACCCCCTTTAATCGGATTTAATTTTTCAATCGGAATGACCATTTTTCAATCGAAATGACCGTTTACATGACCACTTTTAATCGGAATGGCCTTTCATTACGATTAAAAGTGGAATTAAACTGTGCATGTAAACGTACTGAATGATGAACCATGAAACGGTTATTCATGCAGTAGTTTAGCCAAGAGTGGTTATTGTAGGAAAAAAAAAAAAAGAAAGAAATGCATTCTGGGCATATATTTTGCACATACATTCAGTATGGACATTTTGCTATTTTGCAGATACATTGATTAAAAATGTTTGTAATAATGTTGTCAGATAAAACTGAAGCTGCATTAGGGGTTGTTTCAACCTTCATTGTTTTTACTGGTAATGGTAATAAATAAATATACAAGAGCACATACATTCAAACTGCATGACTGTACTACATCATTTTTAGTACAGTAGCTCAGCCCATAGAGACTTGCCTTGGGAATCAAAGGGTCGCTGGTTCAAGTCCCCAAAGAGACCAAGTATAGAACATGGAGTGGTAGCTGGAAAGGTGCCAGTTTGCCTCCTGGGCACTACCGAGGTGCTCTTGAGCTAGGCACCATACATCCAACTGCTTGGGCGCCTGTCCAAGGCAGCCCCCTCACTCTGACATCTTTCCATTAAATGCATATATAGGTCCTGTTTGTGCATGTGTGTGTATTTTGGGCCTGTGTATATATGACAACAGAGAGAAAATAAAAACGATTTCCCCTCAGGGATGAATAAAGTATATCTTCTTCTTTAGTATGTAACAATTTAATGATGTGACTTTTTCAGTGTTTAAGATAATTACCACATTAATTAGATAACAATATAGCAATTTCTGGGGAGCATAACATTAATCTTTCCTACATATAAAGGATATTTGATTAAATTTTGTTGTTATACCATTGTGTT